TTGGCTAGAGTTTTAATTGCCAAGATTTCCTGAAATTTTATTTTAATTATAATCATATTTAATTTATTGTTTACAATAACCTATACATTTTTATTAAAATAAATATTCATACTATATAACAGCAAAACACTACCGTTGAACTTAGGGGTCGTTCATAAAGTATGTAAGCTCATAGGGGTTTGTTAATATTTAAAAATAAAATATTAATAGGATTCATCAATATTTACCAAACCTGACTAGTTAATTATTCGCCTCTATCGTTTACTACAGTGGCACTGCCTACCAATCCTCGTTTGTTACAGTGATACTGTTTCCTAATCCTCGTTGACTACAGTAATATTGCTTCCCTATCCTCGTTATTTTTAAAATTAATTATTAAGATCAATTTCTTTTTTATTTTAAGTTTAGTTTTAACAAAACAATTGATGGATTTTTTTTACAAAATTTACATGATCATGAGTTTTAAACAAATAATATATGTAAAGAACAAATAATATAAATAATATAAGTAATCTTTAAATTTAAAGATGAATTTTGATCTAGTTTAAAGTGAATTTTTTATTTTATTTTTTGTCTCACAACAGCATTTGGATAGATGATGTGTTCAATATAAAAGGACGTTTTTCAAATTAAAATAGCATAGAAAAGCGTAAGTTAATTAAAATAACTAAAATTAAGTTTATTAAAAAATGTCTGAAGACATTACTTAATTATTACATAACATTACTTAAGTAATGTTTTGTTTTTTTTCAAAATAACTTTTTTAATTCATAGAGGAGGGGGAGTTATTTCAAAAGGTTACATACTATTTATAGGCAGGGTAGAGCCTAAAAGTTTTACATAACAATAGGAGGAAGAAGGTCAAGTTTTTTATGACCTCTTACACAACTGATAAGATTTTCAGTTATTAATATTTTTTCAGAAACAATTAAGTTCCTACGTTATAGCATTATATTATGACGATGAAATTTTTATACTAAATTAGTTATATCGTATTAATTTTTATATTATATTAAATATAATAGCTAATAGCTATTTCTTGAATTTTTTAAAGCTAGTTTTGGCTTCCCAAGATAGCGTATTTAGTTGATTACAAATTTAGAAATTTTACGAACTTTTATTTATTTATTTTTTTTGTATAAAAATAAATGTACAAGCTTCAAAAAAAAAAAATACAATTTTCGGTTTGAGATAGCAATTTTTTTTAGAAAGAAACACAATATTACATATTTACGTAAATTTCTAAAAAAATATATAATATTTTGTTTAACAATACTCTCAATAATCTACTCAAACAATATTACTAATAAATATTATACTCTTATAATATCACATATATATTACTAATACATGTATCACAATATATATTACTAATAAATAATATACTCACACAATAAATATTATACTCTTAATAATCTACTCAAACAATAAGTTTGTGTAAAACCTTTCTTTTTTTTTTGTTTTTGTAAATTTAATTAAATAAGATAAAAATTTTTGATAAATTAATTAAAAATTATTTTATTTAACATTAGTAAAGAATTATACCTCTAACCTAGTAGTTTACTACTAGGTTCAACTAATATTTCATAACTAGTTATAACCTATCAGTAGAAATAAAAAACAAATATGAACCCAGTAGTTACCAAATTTAACAAACAATTTTCTAATAATTAATTTGAATGTGGAAAACTGAAATAGTTTTAATCTTTTTTTATTTATATTTCATTTATTTACTTTTTTTTAATTTTAGTTTTATAATAAATTAATTGTTTGTTATTGTTTTTTCTACAAATTTATGTAACTTTTAGTTCTTAACTACCCAATGCTGTGTGCTAGAAGGTTAGTAACACAACTGCATGGTAGGCAGCTGAATATCTTTTTAAAATAAACTATTATAAATTAGTTTTTCAAATAGATATCACAAGTTTTCAAATGCTGCTTGAACTATTAGCTGAGCTCTGTGAGTACGCACAGAGCTCAGCTAACAGAGCTCCTTCTAGAATTTTTTTTTACATAATTATATGTACTTTATTTTTTATTTGGTTGTACTAAAATCTATCTATATATATATATATATATATATATATATATATATATATATATATATATATATATATATATATATATATATATATATATATATAATCCAGATTTTTTTTTTTTGATGCCATTTTAACTACATATCTGGCAATATATCAAATCAAAGCTTTTTTGTATTTAGATAGAATGCTGCAGTTTAGAATATGGGCATAATCATGGTCACTATTAGTTGGTTTTCTCTTTAACAAATCGTTTTTTTTTTGTTAACTCAATTTTAGTCAGATATTTTAGTGCTGGAGTGAGCAAAACAATTGTCTAAAATTTTTGAAATATGAGTTTTATCTCTGATGCTGCATTTTCATTGGAAAATTGAACCCTAATAAGCCTTGCTGCATGCACACAATGCTGACTTGTATCCTATGGCAAATAGGTTTTGTGAATTTAATGTGATGTAATCAATCTTTTATGCGAATAAACTCAACGACATGTTTATATAATTATTCAACTGTAACATACAGTTTGATAATATAAAAAAGTCAGCCTTTATATAAACTATAACATATAACTATAATACTTAAGTATTATGGTTATATGTTTACCTGCTGTTAACTGCAGGTAAACAGTATATATAACTTTAGTTAATGAGATATTTCAAAGAGATGTTTTGAATATTTCTATATTAAAAATTTAATAAATTTGTTTTTTCAAACAAACGTTTGTTTGAGGATGTATGTAAATTTTGTTACACACATCCTCAATTCCATTAAGTGATTATCCTTTAAATTATAAGAAACGATTATTTACTTTTTATTTGTTTTAAAAGTTGATATAAATAATTATAATTCATTTTTTTTTACCAGCATAAGTGATACTTTAGAATGTTTTATTCAAATAATTTAAGCAATAATATAATTATAATATAATTCTAGAAGGAACTCCTGAGTTTGTATACAGGGGTATACTGACAGCACTCAGTTAATAGTTTAGGCAGCATTTGTAAAAAATGGTATCTTGCAACAAAAAATAGAGAATATAAAATTGTAGGTAGAGATGATTGCTGCTTAATATGCTGTTATGTTATTAACCTTCTAGCATACAGGATTGGATAACTAAGAACTAATAGGTACATAAATTATACTCAAAACTTAACTAAAATTGTAAATGCCATTTAATAATAAATTGAATTATTCAAAAAATTATTTCTTTTTTTATCTCTCTAATATTTATAAAATTTATTTGTTTTCTTTTATTTTTAACAAATTTATTAGCCTTATTTAATTATTTTTTATCGTAGTTTGATAAAGCCAAATCGCCGCCATCTTGGGAGGCCAATTTTGGCTTCAACTTTTTTCGGAAAAAACAATAGAATCCGCTCTCCAGTTATATTTTAAGATCAGTGTTTCTAATCAAAAATATATGAAATTGGAGTTGCATAGATATAATATTTCACTTGGAATATTCATAAGCAGTTTATTTTCATTAAAACAACTATATGAAATCGACAAATTGCAACTTCCATGCGTGATTTCCGTACGTGATAATAAATGAACTGCATTTAAACGATTGCTGTGACTTTATGATAATAGTAAAATCCTGTAATTTTCTGGAAATCTTTACTTGTATCTAAAGTATTATCTAAAAAAAAAATATAACGAAACACTGAAAGGTGCACTTTTAACGAAACACTGAAAGGTGCACGTTTAGGCTTGATTAAAAAAGATTGATAATCATTATTTAAAATCAAATAAATATTTTTTGAATATTAAACTTTTCATATATCGCTGGAAAAATAAGACAGCACAATACCAAAAAGAAACCATTATCTGTTTTATCTAACTTTACTTCAAAGTTCTTTATCTTTCTGTTATTTTGTTTAACTAATGCTGAGTCATTCTACCCAAAAAGACTATGCGTAGCCCGCCGCCAATAATGAAAAAAAAACATTGTTGAAAAAAAAAAATTGGTATGGTACTTGAGTCAATAATGACATTTGGAGTCATAGCATAACGTAAGATTGCAAGTATTAAAGAATCATGAGTATTATAAGTTATATATGGTGTTTACAATTAGTATTACACTAATTACACTACACTTTTTGAAATAGTTTCAAAAAAAAGACACGAAAGTAAAGACTATAAAAGATTTTGGGATTATTATTTCAGGCTACAAGAAATAATACAAACCTAGATTTGAATAATAGACTATTTTTATCCAATGATCCGGTCTTAACGTCTCTAAGAAAGTATATTAAAAAGATAAGTTTGTATAAATTTCCCAGTCAAGTTCTAAATCTGCCAAATCTAAGAATCAGCTTCATCATAAGCAGATTTGAAGATATAAAAAGATACTAGGATCAACTTCATCATAACCATATTTGTAAAATATAAGTTAGTGCAAAAGTTGTTTTCTTATCTTTGCATTAATTGTAAACATTGCCATATTTTATACCGCTCAAACTGGGTAACTTTCATATATCGTATAAACGTCAAACTTTTCAATGAGCATACGTCAAATGAGCATATGTCAAATGAAACTTTTTAGTATAAAATATAAGTAGTAAGAGCAGAAAAATAAAAAACCCTAATAAATTAGTGCTAACACACATAATGTTAGACAAAAAATAAAAAAAAAAGGTAATTCACTTTAAACTAGATAAAAAGTCATCTTTAAATTTAAAGATTACTTATATTATTTATATTATTTGTTCATTACGTATATTATTTGTTTAAAACTCATGATCATGTAAAGTTTATTAAAAAATCCATCAATTGTTTTGTTAAAAATAAACTTACAATAAAAGAGAAATTGATCTTAATAATTAATTTTGGAAAATAACGAGGATTGAGAAGAGGTATTACTGTAGTAAACGAAGATTAGGAAACAGTATCACTGTAACAAACGAGGATTGGTAGGCAGTACCACTGTAGTAAACGATAGAGGCTAATAATTGAGTAGTCAGGTTTGGTAAATATTAATAAATCCTATAAATATTTTATTTTTAAATAAAATTCACCTTACATTTTATATATACATACATAATCTTTTTTTTTTTATTTTAGCTTTTGAAGGTTCATAAATGTATTAGTTTTTTCGTTTTTTTTTTGTTAAAAGTTTTTTTCATAAAGAATTTCCACCATATTTGACATAATATAATACAATAAACCTTTAACTTTTTTTCGTCTTTCATTTTTTCAATATCTAACTGTGTTCAAAACTGATCTTCACTTTCACTAGGTGAGTTAATTCGTGATTTTCTACGAAAAACTAAACTATCTTCGCAAACACTTTGTCGTTTTGTATGACATAGACTTTTACGACGGTTATTCTTCATTCTTTGTTTTGTAATAATATCTTCTAGTTCGCTTATTCTTTCTACAATACGAAAGACGTGTCCTTGACTTTCAACTTTAGAAGAAATTTCACTTTCGGCTATCTTTGAGATACAACCGTTCTTTAACAACTTGTTTAATGTTTTGTAGTTATTTTCAGAGCTTTTTAATATATTCTCCTTTTGTTTGAGCAATAGCAAGAGATTGAAAACTACAAGGATAATTACAACAGCTATCAACAAAAGGTGGCAGCAGCACAGAAGCATAAAAAACATCCAGCAGTCCTAAAATGTCGAAAATTATTTTAGTTGCGAAATTTAACAGAATCTAAAAATTTTTATAAATATTTTGTTTTATTTGATACATTTGGGCTAATAAGATACTAAAAATTTGTATGATTTAAAACTATTCTAAAATTAAAAAAAAAGAAGTTTATTAAATAAAATTGAAAAGTCACCATAATTAAAAAGACTCACCATAACTAAATAAAAAACGAAACAATTTTGAGTAATTTAAACTGTTTATTTAATTGCGTCATTTTGATACGTCATTTGATTACGTTTGCAATAGTTTCTGTAGTCTAACAATACAAAACAACGTTTCGTATTAAAATATTTTTTATTTAAATAAAAATGGCTTAATCAGCAAATTAAAAAAAAGTTCAACACCGATGTTATTAATAACTACTTAAATACAGAAAGTTATTTTATCGGTTATACTCGAGTAGTTATTCTAATTTACGCATTTATCTGATTAGCAATGCTTTAAATGCCATTCCATTAATATTTTAGAAAAGCGCCGTTAATTTGCAAAAGATTAGTATACTTTTTTTATGCTCGGAAAAGTTTTCCACAATTTACATGAATATCTAAAATAAATTTTTTATGCTATATATTTCTTATATTTTAGCATTATGTGTATTTTATGTTCAATCAAAGTTGTTTTTAAAAAATACAGTGACATTTTTGTGGAAAGACGATAATTAAAATTGCAAGATCAATAATATTCAATATCATTCTTTGTAAAAATGAATGATCCGTGAAACGTATGAACAAACTCCTTCCTGCTGCAAATACCCATTTAAAAACCCTCGAGTTTTTTTCAAAAATTTTAAAGAGAAGCAACATAATCTTTTATAATTTTGTAAATTCTCCATCAAAACATTTTTATTTGTTCATCAAAACATTGTTCTCTCACAGTACTTCAACTTTCTGTGTGTGTGTGTGTGTGTGTGTGTGTGTGTGTGACATCCCCTCCCCCTTCCCCAATCAATGAACTTTTATACCATCAGTCGGCAAATTGGGACTATTTTGTATCAGTCGACAAATTGGAGCCTCTTTTTAGATTCATTTTGCAAAATCGAACTTGGGCTATTTATTTTTAGTAGACAAATTGAGAAATTACAGGACCCTTTTTTTTAAGTCAGAAAAAAACCTAAGGCTTCTTTCATCCTCCACTTGACACGTACTCGCGCTGGCCCTATTTGTAAACAATAATAAATATATCAAATAAAAAAAAATTAAATAAAATAATTATTTCTTATTTGAATAATGATAAATAGGCTTTGCGTCATTGAAATATTTGTTTAACAATATGTCGAAACTGCTTGTTTTGACGAATTTTTATTTTGCTGTTGTTAAAATCTAAAAAAAATATCGCGCCACTCGTATAATTTGAATGTTTATTCTTAAATATTCATTCAGACAGAACAGATCAAAGTATAAAAGCTTTAATCCGTCAAAGGATAATAGCTAAGATACAAAATTTCAAAAACCACGTCAATTGAATTCTTGTGCCTGTGTTCAAAAGAGTTTGGCTTTATATTTAAAGTGGCCTATATATACTAAAAAAGACATTGAACTAATTTTTTACTTAATTGCGAGGAAAATATTTGCTAAACAAATCTTGTATCTTCGATGATACACTAAAAACATATAATTGAATATTGAATATTAAATATATTAAAATTGGCATAACAAAAATAAACATTAAAACTAGTATTTGAAGGTATCTTTCGGCTATTAATGGACTATACTCGGACATTAACGAATTGTTTGTCCATCCCAGCTCAAATTCATTCGATTGGATTCAATTCTAGTGATCAAGGACTATAAATCTTTTTTTTTTCTTTTCTTTCATCCATGCTTTGACTGTATGGCACCAATCGTCTCAATATACCAGCGTGTCTAACGATGGAGCTATGCAGTGTTGGTCGGAAGTGGGTGTAACATTTATTCAGCCGGTATAAATGTCACACATACCTCCTCGGTTAAAATTATAGCATTCCCAAACACCAACACTTTCGCCGTCACATTGTAATCGTTTTCTTTCAGAGTATGCACATTGATTTCCCACGAATTAATTTACTTACTTTATTGTAACAATATTAACGAACTTTGGAATCACGTATAAAGGTTACCTTTATTTTATAATAAATTAGATTTTTTTTTTGAAAATTGAAATATAAAATTAAATTAAAAGTAATATAAAGTTAAAATATTATGTTACCTATTTATAGTACTTATAAATACAAATATAGTCATATAAAAATAAATATAAATATAATATTTATATTTAAAATTATTATATTAAAGTAAAATAATAAACTCAAAATTTACCTATATACTAATACTTAAAACTAGCTGTCACGACCCGTAAAACGCTTGGAACATGCCTTGGTACCTATATACTAATACTTAAAATTCATGTTAATACTAAGATGAAAAATTTTGAATAATCAAATTAATAAAACCAAAATTAAATTTAATAACTTCAAAGATAAAAACAATGAGAAAATGATAATGAAACTAAGAGTGAGCAAAAAAATTGAAACGAGCGTTTGTATGTTAATATTATTAAAATTCTTATTAAAAATAAGAATTTTAGTAGGATAGAGCGGAGCTAGCTCAGCAACTGCTCAACCTGCCCCAGCGGGGTAAGTTAAGCAAAAGTGTGTGGTAAGTTGAGCAATCACCAAATAAATAAATATGTATGGTACAAAACTTGGGTGAATTATCAATAAAACTTTTGCTAACAATAAGCGTGTCTATAATTTATAAACTTTTTATTTTGTTTACTTTAATGACGTAAAAGAAGAGAAAAAATTAAATATTAAGAATGGGTCATAAAATATAAAAATATTATTTAATACAGCTATCTTGAACTTTAAAGCCCGATTTAAAAATTACTAATTTTAAAAATATATATAAATAATGTTCCGCTAAATTATTTCTAATCCAAGATGATTTTTAATGTTTAATAGTTAAGTTCTTTTTATTTTTTTTCAAAGCTGTTCAACTTACTCCAACTAGACAAGGTGACACATTAGTTAGGTTTAAAAGAGAAAAAGTAAGACTAGGAAAAAAACTGCTAATTTTAATCGAAAGTCCGATATTTTGGTAAAATATCAACACTTAAATGATGGAAGATAAAAAAGTTTATAATCATCCTAAAAACACTTATGCTCAATTGGTCCCGCTCTACCCTATATGATGGGGTCAAGAAGAAAACGCAAATGAATTAAGAGCAAAAAAAAAAGTATGCTTAATTAATTCACAACTAATCACCCTTGCCTGATGAAAAAAAGTTCTTTAATTTTACAGATTTTTTAACAACAAAGATGAATTTAAGTCATAAAAAAATTTTTCAACTTTTTTCAACTTTTTTTAAGTTAATGATTTTTACTTCGCAATGAATCCTGATCAAAATTCTTATAACGAAGTTGGAGCTTGTAAAAAGAAATATTTTTATACCTGTGAAATTTAAGGATTCCTTGATGAAAATAAAGTTAATGTAACTCGCATAATAATACTGCACATAAAATACGTAGTTTAAACAAAAATTAAAAATATTTCAGTAATTTTATTAAAATAAATATTACAAGATCTTTTTAACATTATTTTGCGTAATAGAAACTTGGTGCAGTTTGGATGACGTAAACTCATATTAAAACTTCAAACCGCAGGGTTTTAATTTAATTTCATTAGTACAAAAAATAAACCGGCGTTTATATTTATGTTAAGAAATCTTTGAAAAAGCCAGTAAAAAATGAGATATCTGACCATTTAACTTTTTTTTTTTTTTTTATCTCTTTAAGTATAAATAAAAAAAATTAATATCTAATGAAAAGAAAGTCTTTAAAAAATGCATTTTTTGATGCTATAACCATTTTTATAAATTTAAGTACAATAATCTCTGAAATATTTATTACTTTTGATGATGTAAACTTAGTCTACAACTTTCTTCTTTAAAAAACTTTAATTTTATTGTAGTCAATAGAAATTTTAAAGCTAAAAGTATTAAAATGCGATATATCACAATTGTAATTTATAGACTTAGATATAAATTACATAGACTTATTATATAGACTTAGATATAAATTACAATTGTAATTTATAGATACATAGATATTAGAAGACTTTCCAAAACCCTTTAAAGGGTTTTGGAAAGTCTTCTAATATTTAAAGAAAAAAATGTTACTTTAAATCTAAAACAAATTAAAACAACAGAATTATGACCAACTTATTGAAAGCTTCAAAAAAAAAAAAAAAAAAAAAAAAAAGAAGAAGAAAAAAATGTCTTCTTTGGTTATTAAGGTACTCCAAAATGTCTTTACGGTCTAATCAAAGAGCACCGCGGAAAAACATTTAACTAGAAAGTTCAAGCCTCCTCACGTCTTTTTCTAACCAATGCGCTACTGCTGCAAATAAAAAAAACAAGCATTAAATGCATCATACGCATTTTATAAGAAAAACCAAGCATTAAATGCAGGTATAGATAGTGCACAAAAAGAATTTGAAAACGACTTTCAATATTTTAGTCTAACAAAGCAGTAGACCCTTATGGTGTTATTGGCAACATTTTTTTAATTTCTTTTAAATAAAAAATATAAACTTTAAAGGTTTTTTCTGCTACAAAAAAAAAATATTTTCCGCAAGATCGAAATATAGTGAAAGTCGTACTAATATTAAAAAACGGTAACATTACGAATATCAGTAATTATCGTCCGTAATCGCTTTTTCTGTATTTTGAAAGTTTTTTAAAGAATTTTGGACAACAAAATATATAATCAGCTAATTATATAAAAAATTTATTACATAACAATCAATATGGCTTCCAAAAAAACAATTCCACTGAACCCGTGATTCTTCAACTTGGAAATAATTCTAACTCATTCGAATATTCTTAACTTGCTTTAGTTGTTTTTAAAGATCTAGCAAAATCTTCTAATACTATTGATCAAGAAACTCTTTTAAAAATGCTAGAAGATTATAGAATAACTGGAAATATATCAGTTTGGCTAAAAAGTTACATAAATAACTGAAGCATTTTTTTTATACAAATTAAATTATATCTAATTTGTTAAACATTACTACGTAACTACATTAATCCGCATGAAATATTATAGTATTTACATGCGAAGTAATGTAATAAACTACATACTCTGCTCCTAATTTACATGCATATAATGCATGTGTAATGCAAATGCGTAATCCACGTGTAATGCAAATGAACTACACACCAAATGAACTACATGTAATTTACATGCGGAGTATGCAGAGATGCAGGTCTTGAGACAAAATTCTTGATCTCGAGACGCCTCGAGACTCATACTTAACTATCTTGGTCTTAAAGGCTAAAGTCTTGGTCTTGAAAGCCTAGAGTATTGGTCTTGGTCTCGGACCATTACTGTCTTTCACTTTCTTGATACAAAAAAATCAACTCAATGAATGGATTAGTTACTAATAACAAACCGTAGATCGCCGCAACTTCCCACTCTCAATGAGAGTTCGTCGCATTGGTTTGACAAGAGGCCGGGTGAATAAAAATGAGCAATTGCTTTTACTCAGCAGTTGGTCAGCTTTACGTGAACAAAAACTGCTCGAGTTTTGCTAAAATTTTTATTCATGTTAAGTCAAGCAATTTACTCAATAACTGCTCTCCTTTACGTAAATAAAAACTTGAGAAAAAGTTTTAAAGTTTTTATTAACGTAAAGCTGACTAGAGAGCCTATATACTCAGAGAGCGGACATAGGTGTGATCGTTTTTGATTGGTTGTTCGATTTTTATGATTTTAGACGCCATCTTTTTGCCAAAAATACTAACTGCGATTTAAGTCTACTACTAAATTTGTATTAAATATTTGTAAAAGTATGCCTGGTTGTGCTGCAGTAGGCTGCCATAACAGGCCTGAGAAAGGATTTATTATGAAATGCTTCCCAAGAAATGAAAAACAACGGCGATTTGGACTTCTAAAGTTAAACGAATTAACTGGGTACCTACAAACACAAGCTTTTTATGTAAAGTAAGCATAAGAAAATACAGTTTTATGCAATTAATCCTAGAAATGAGTTATTTTAGAATCCATACAAATACATTATATTCGATCAATTTTTTTATTTAGGTACACTTTGATGCTGATCAATGGGAAAAAAACAGAGAAGATGGATCAAGAAAACTCAAACATAATGCAATTCCTACTGTCTTTAAACATGTTAGAGCAAAACATAAGCGAAAAAAACCACTCGAGCGTTTTCCAATACCAAAAAAAAAGAAAATAAGTTGTATAGAAAGAGGAGAAGTTGTGGAAAATGTTTTAATTGAAGTAAATAACAATGAACTATCTGAAGTTTGCACAACTGAGGTTGATAAAAGTTTACTTATACAAGATTTAAATGCGAAATTGGAGAGATTAGAAAAAAAAGTCATTAATCAAAAAAAAAAAATTAACATTTTAAAATCGAAAGCAAGAATAAATACTGTTCAAAAATATAATCATATAAAGAGAGATAAATTTAAAGTTTTGAAAACAATATTTAAAGAAGATCAAATTTTATTCTTAAGTAGAAAAAATATGAAATTCATTAAATGGTCAAATGTTACTATAAATGAAGCGTTAGAACTCAAATTTACATGTGGTCAAAGTGGTTATGAAAATTTACTTCGTTTAAACTTACCATACCCATCATTACGTACCCTACGACGAAGATTAGAAAATCTAAAATTTCAAAGTGGCATTCTAACAGAAGTCTTTGAGTTTATGAAAACTAAGGTGAATGCCATGAAAATCCATGAAAAAGAATGTGTTTTAATTCTTGATGAAATGTCAATAACCGAAAGTGTTGACTATGACACATCTACAAGCTCTTACTATGGAGTTGTTACATTACCTGAACATTATGGCCAAGCTAACCATGCTTTAGTTTTTATGCTTGGAGGAATATCTACAAGATGGAAACAAACTGTTGCATATTATTATACTGGAAGTTCTGTTAGTGGGGGTGTTTTAAAAAACATTGGCCTATCTATAATAAAGTATACTGAAGAAATAGGATTAAAAGTTAATAGTGTTACTTCTGATATGGGTGCCATTAATTAGGCAATGTGGAAATGTTTTAATATTAGCTGTACTAAAAGTGGCAGTATTTCTAGTTCAATTTAACACCCATGTGACCCTACTCGTACAATTGATTTTTTAGCAGACGTATTACATTTATTAAAGAATATAAAAACGTCTCTTTTATGTAACAAACATTTTATAATAACAGCTAAGATTCAAGAAAAATATAAACTTTAATCGCCAATTATAGATTCAAAACACCTTAACAAGCTTGTAGACTTTCAAGAAGGTATGGATTTGAAGTTTGCTTACAAGCTTACATCTGAACATCTTGATGAAAAACATTTCAACAAAATGAAAGTATCAAGAGCAACATCTGTAATAAATCATGATGTAAGTTGTAGATTAAAATTTATTGCAAGTAAAATAAAAGATGATTCTATTCTCACAACTGCTTGGTTTATAGGAATTGTTGATAAATGGTTTACATTAATGACTTCACGAAACCCAGGTATGGCTCTTAGCATGAAAAATGACAAAGTTTACAATGAAACAATAACTTTTTTAAATGAAGTCATAGAGATATTCAATGGTTTAAAAATATTAGGCCAAACTCAAAAAATAAGGTGGAAACCTATTCAATCTGGTGTTATATTATCAACAACATCAGTTATTAACTTGCAAAATAAGTTTCTTCTAGAAAAAAAGTTTGATTTTCTAATGACATCACCATTTACGCAGGATTGCCTGGAGAGTCTTTTTTCCCTGGTATGTGCAAAACAAGTAATTCCTACTGCTCTTCAATTTAAAAATAACTTAAAACTTATTTGCGTTGCCCAATTCTTGAAAAAATCATCAAAATGCAGTTATGATATAGATGGCCTTCAATTCTTATCTGATTTTCTTGATTTAGTTAATAGTAAGGTGCCACAGCACTCTCTTTGCATAAACCACAGCAAAGAGAGTGCATTTTGTTACCTAAAGATTGGGATAAAACCTCTAACTTAATCTTAAGTAATGCTGAGCAAAAATGTTTGTTTCATATTGCAGGTTATATAATTTTTAGAGTTAAAAAAATTTAAACAATTTGTTTTGAATCTCTAGTTTCTAAAAATAGAGTTAATGCTGATTACACAAAGTTTGTTAATTGAGTATTCAATCAACTTTTTTTTAATCCGTGGTTATCGAAACAATCATAAAAGAAAAACGAATAAAGAACCTTAACAATAATACATTATATATTTGTATTTATAAGTTTTAAAGTTAATTTTAAAAATAATGGAAATTACATTAAAAAATATCGAGAAGTTAATTACAAACAAACTCGAAGAACAAAA